CTTCTAATTCTCATTATAACTTGCACCACGTCCACCTCAGTCAAAGCTTCTAATTCTAGGTGCCAGATTAGTCTCCCCACAATCTTAGGTTAAATTCATTGCATTTGTCATCAACTGCAATAAGCATTTCGTTTCCTGTTTTATTATGCAACCTGATAAATGCATCTCTAATCCACCATCAAGTATTTCCTGTGTAGCCAATAACCAGTTAGAGTTTGTATCTTCATGGGTCAAATGACATGTCCCTGATTTTATACATCGGCGGTGACACTCCCAAGATTGAGTTGCTGCCTTGCCATAGCCAATGTGTCTGCTTGTACAGACTTTCTCAGGTCCAGTTCTATTAACACATTTCTGTGAGTAATCCCAGCTCTTGTTATTTCTTTATGCAACTTGGGCTACGGATTTAATCTATAGTGCATTAAATTTGGTAGAAACTCGATGTTCCGGTTTTCAAGCATTATGGCTCCATTGTTGACCAACACACACAGGAGCAATATTTATTTCATATGTAAATATTTTTTAATGGACTTATCACTATTTTGCGGATAGTATGACAGCGTCATGTTTGGATTCTTTGGCCATTTCCCTATTTTTGTAAATATTTCATCTCACTTATACATGTACATGTAAGTACATGTACATAATGTGCAGTGATATCAACTAATGTCCTCACAGGATACACTGATTTACTTGCATTTATATTCAGTTATGTTACGTTTGTAATTTTCCAGGAAACTCCTGTAATACAGATAACCCTGCGACTCCATTTCACCATATACACCTTTTTGCACCGATCCAAGTACAGCCACAAAGGAATATGGATACAAATGTTGATATGCGAGGTGGACCCTGGAAATACAAGGAGTATACATGCAGTGGACAGCATACCTACTAAAGTGTTGTTGCAGACATCGATTCATATGATCATTTGGCAATATTGGCCCACTACATGCTTACTTTGAAAGTACTCTCACTGTTGACTTGTTGTTAGGACAAAGATAATGCTGAGGTTGTACTACACTTGATGTTTAACATGGAAGTCCAGAACACCTGTTTGCCACATGACTCTGGTGTATGCGGTGACTGATAGCTAACATTTTTCTTACCCACAGTATAGAAAGGTCGCTTGCTAGGATCTTGTACACTGAAGAATCCTGGCTTACGTGCCTGTAGTAGAAGGATGTGGAAATAGCTACGCCAATCCTCTCTGTGGAAAAAAACAAAGGTTGCATTCACAGTATGCAGAAGCATCAACCAGGGCTGTGTTCTATGCTTTATCAATACATGTGCCCTACAAGTATACATTATGTACAGTACCATCAATGAAGAAGATATACATACATGTACAATGTATAGCAATGCCAGCATGTGTAATGCAAGAATGCGCCCCAGTATTAGATGTGCTAACTTGAAGATGAACTTCAGTTCTTGATATGGATGTATAAAGTGTGCACATTGAATAAGGATGAGTGCAATAGAGCATTCCACCTGTCTCTACATCAAATTGATCAATCTAAAATCCTTTAAGAGTCTGACTGGTATACACACATTCAAAGTTTCAGTGCAATTGCCTTATAACCCCCACAGATGAGTTGGAAGAGTCCACTTGCAAATCCCTACAGTCACTGCATATTTCCCTTGTTGGTGCAATACATATCTGCTGAGAGTTCACACAATAGGCTACCCACCATGCACTGCAGCATGCCCGCCATTACACCTTCTCCTTTTCTTGAATGCTATAGCAGGAGTCTCCATTGAGTCTCCCTGTGGGGAGGAGGGAGGGATGCTCCACGGATACATGTAGGTACAGTTTTGTAATTTTTGGAATATAAGCCATGCGGTAGCACCATGCAAAGGAATATATCTCGCTTATGAGTATGTGTGGTTCTGAAAAGAACCGCGATATACTCAACGTTTCGAACTGCGTGCTCAGTCCGTCGTCAGGAGACTGAAGAGATGCTCAAGATGGGGCTGTATGTATAAGATGGCTGGATGCAGCGGGGTGTGACGAGGATGCTGGTGGTGGTCGCTCATGTGGGACAGGGTCCTGCAGGTCAGTAAGGCGTATCAGTGATCCATACAGTTGCTCCATCCTCCACAAGGGTACCCTGCCCTTCTCTGCCACCGCAGCGGGGCCACCAGATCCACCCTGTCATCACTGGAAAAAGAGATATTCAATTTGCAGACCTGCTCAAGACCACTATGTCCTCAGTGGACTTCAAGAAGATTAACCGTCTCACCGCATCATCCAGCAACTACGCCTTCAAGCAAGCTCGACACCGGCAAATCAAGAAATTTCTCAAGATCAACGGCACCAACCACATCACACGCAGCATACCACTCCAGGCAATGGGATCCTCTACATCCCTACGCCCGCAGCTGTCCAATCCCATGAGATGTTCGATCCCACCACACCTTCCATCCAAGGAGTCCTTCACCAAGCGCACGGTCGTCAACATGAGTAAACGCACCCTCTCCCCCCCGCAAGGAGAGAATTCTTGCCCTGGGCATGAACTTTGCACTAGACCCTTGTTCGCTACCTATGGAAGAGATTATCCAAGCCACCGAGCCCACTATCTTTCCCCTTGACAAGCCTACTGCCGATAAGATCCACATCGAGATCAAACCAAGCCCAACATCTCCAGAGAAGATTGGTCAGCCATCAAGTCTCTACGCCAAGACAAGTCCATCCACATCCTCCCGGCTAAAAAGGAATGCCACGGTCATCATGGACAGAGTTGAGTATGACCGCAAGGTCTCAGACATACTCGACTCTGACGACTACCAGGAGCTCTGCGAGACCCTACAGCGGCAATTGAGAGGAAGCTGCAGCAGAAATTCCTATGCCTCCAGTGTTCCAGGAACATCACGGAACCACTCTACCGGCAGCTGTGCCCATCCAACTCAAGGTGCCCCAAGTTCTTCGGTCAACCTAAAATTCACAAGGAGGACACTCCACTTCGCCCCATAGTAGCTTCAAGAGGAGGGCCCACCTACAACACCGCAAGACATCTAGCCAAGATTCTCCATCCCCTGGTTGGCAAGACCCAGCATCAAGAACTTGGACCAGTTTTTATCTATCACCCAAGACCTCAAGCTCCGGCCAGATGACATTATGGTCAGCTTCGATGTTGTCTCACTCTTTACCAACGTCCCAACCTCTGATGCCACCACCATAACAAGAGACCGACTCCAGGCAGACACCACCCTCAAGGATTGCACCGACCTTACCCCAAGCCAGCTCCATGACCTCCTTACCACCTGTTTCAACTCAACCAGCTTCCGATGGCGGGACAAATTCTTTGAACAGTTGGCTGGAACCTCCATGGGATCACCTATATCCCCAGTTCTAGCTGACATATTCATGGAAGAATTTGAGCAGACTGCCATCACCACGGCAGACCATCCTCCCAAGATCTGGCTCCGGTATGTTGATGACACATTTGTCATTTGGCAACACGGACAAGACAACCTCCAGCACTCCTTGGATCACATCAACGGGCTTCACAGTAGCATCACATTCACCATGGAACAAGAAAGAAATGGCAGCATTTCCTTTCTTGATGTTGAGGTGTCAAGAAGTAAAGATGGCCGCCTCTCCTGCAAGGTGTACTGCAAACCCACCCACACCAACAGATACCAAAATTAAGTCGTCTGTCAACCGAGCCCTTGTTCACAGAGCTTAAAACATCTGCAACAAGGCACACCTCACTGAAGAACTGCACCACATCTCCACGGCACTTCAACGCAATGGCTACAAGCTCGAGCAGATCAAGACTCAAGACCCAAGACCAAGATCCCCTCCTGGCCGAAGGGTCTCCCATATCCAAAACCACTTAGATAAGGCCCCTAGTTATGTTACCCTCCCCTACCTCGGTTGTACTTCCCACCACATCCAGCGTATCCTGAACAAGCACGGCATCAAGGTGTTCCATACAGCTCCTCTCAAGATCCGCAGCATGCTGACATCCCACAAGGACTGACAAGATCTGCACCACCGACCAGGGGTGTACAAGATCCCTTGCCAATGGAGCAAAGTGTATATTGGTGAGACTGGTAGGGACCTCCCCGCCAGACTCAAAGAACATCAAGCCCATGGCAGGAAGGGAGACTCTGAGAAGTCGGCGACAGTCAAGCATTCCCACTCCAAAGACCACCGCATCCATTGGGATCAAGCCCACCTCATCACTAGCATCGAGAACTGGTACCCAAGATGCATCAGAGAAGCCTTGGAGATCCTCAAGCATGACACTGTTCCCCAAGACATCGGTTTCTCCACCATTGACATCTGGCAACCTCTGCTCACCTCCCAGTCCAGTGGGTCCTTTATACCGTAGGACGCCCCCACCCTGCCTATGGGTCTCCTATACCCTCGGCCCTCACCCAGCACCTACCTATGCCCAACTGACACGCCTTACTGACCTGCGGGACCCTGTCCCTCATGAGCGCCCACCCCAGCATCCTCGTCACACCCCACTGCATCCAGCCACCACATATATACAGCCCCATCTTCGGCATCACTTCAGTCTCCTGACGACGGACTGAGTCAGCAGTCTGAAATGTTGAGTATACTCCCAGTTCTTTTCAGAACCTTACATACTCACAAGAGAGATATATTCCTTCGCATGGTGCTACCACAAGCCTTTCCACCTGTTGCTGTCCTTCACCATGAATAACCTGAAATTCCATCTTTTTTCCAGTGGCCAGCAAAACTTATGTGGTCAAGGACTTACAGTAAAATCTGGTCACTCAAAGTCAGTTAAGTCGAAAGATCATTTTATCTTGTAGGCCGACTATTTCTTGGCAAAAGAAAAGGCTTTTACTTTAAAAAAATACCCCTGTAACTGTCCACAATACTACATCCGCTTATCTCAAGATTTTTGTGACACTGATTAAAAACACTGCCAAATGGCTTCAAAAATGAAAAATCTGAGGCAAAACCTTGGTTCAAGTCATCACACTGGAACTGCTTGTGTTGCATGCATGTTGCAGCATGGCACACGTGCTGCACACACCACCGTGATCGCGCAAACCTTGTTCTCAGGCTAGCCTGATTGCTACCACAGACCTATTCAGGACAATCCAATCACTGACTCATTATAACAACCATGTGACCACAGGAAGTGTTGTCATCAGAAAACCCAAGTGAAAAAAAACGGAAATTCTTCGACATGTCACACTGAACACGATCGACGAAAGATCTTCCACACGAAGGTACACTATTGAAGCGGTTGATTTTATGTCACAATAGAAAGAAATCTTTAGGTTAGAGCAATAAAAAAATGTTAGTAAAATGATTATTTGTCTCCAAAAAATACACCATGAGATTAAATAAAAGCGGGAAAATAATCACTGAAAATGTTGCCCCAGCAGAGCAAGTAAAAGTTTAAGATTACGTACACATTTCATGAGGTTTGTGACTCCATGACTCGGGGAAATCTATTAAAACTCGAAATCTGAACAACTCAAATTTTATATATTCTCCGAGATTTGAGTTTTTGTAAATGGCAACTGACGAAAACATGACTGCACTCCCTGCACGTGATACACGTGGCCCAGCCGAGGCTTTTTGACTGATTTTATCCTTCAAAGTTCGCAAGCTGAGCACCATTGAAATTATCTTCCAGTAAAGATAAGTGGGATTTAAACATCCGGAATGAAGATATCAGGAGGAGTGAAGGCATCTGATCGGTTCTTTGTGAGGAACAAACCTTGGTTCCCAGGGAATATGTCCGGGATCAATTGATAAAGGCTTGCATTTTGCTGTTGTCGCCATTTGGCAATTTGACTGATAAGTAAAAATGTCGGTCTTAACGGTCCATTTGGGGAATGTGAAAGTTTCCCAAGTACCTGAGGGAGGTCCCATGAGGGGAGGAGCTTACAAATGGGAAGCTTTGCGATGAACATTCTGCGGAGGATAAGATCCAGGGCGTGGTTATTAAAGATTGCTGAACTGTCAGGAAATCCTCTATGAATGGCTGCAATGGCCAATCAGTAGTTCTTTATGGTGGCTACTGTGATGCCAGAGTTGAACAGGTAGACAAAAAAATTACCGACACCAGTCAAAGCAGAATCGACCGGATCTATAGTTTTCTGTCTACGTCATTTATGTCGAAGGCAGCTGTTGCAAACTTTTTGGGTGGATGGTTTATGACTGCATGCTGCAAATGAGGCAGCTTCTGCTAAAAGGGCCACTGTTCAGAAAGATCGTACGACAATACGCAGCACATCAGGTAAAGACTCTAGGGAGCTGGGTGACTGACGTTAGACTCTGGCTGAAACAGAACATCCAGACGATGCAGAAAGACTAGCGAGCTGTGTTTTGAAAGATTGATCAAGCATGGGAACCGTGACTGTCAGGACCAGAACAGAGTGACGAGAAGAATTCTGCAATGCTCCCGTTCTATTTTTTAAGTACCCATGTGATCAGGGATATTACACGTATACAAAAACCCAGTCCAAGGAATCAACAAGGTATCAGTGTGCCATGCAAAAGGTTCAGGAAATCTAGAGATAAAAAATATAGTTGGTTGTTGGCTCCTGATGCAACTGTGTGTGGGCAACTGATCATTAGGAAAATCCATTCAGTGACGCTGGACTGTATTAGAGGTTCATTCAATGGGCAAAACTTTTCCCCTGGAGGGCATTGACCATAGGGTTGTCCTTGCCTAGGACATGAATGGCTTTCAGGGTTACACCAGATTCCTGGCACCAACAGAGCATGTCCCATGCGAGGAAGCAGACTTGGGCTAACCGCGTACCTCACTTGTGGTTGATGTATGCCATCACTGTAGTATTATCGCACAGTGCTGAATGTTGCTTTCATCTCCAGGACATTACGGTAATATGTAAACATTCTTGACCTTGGCCCCACTTCCTTGCCATTTGGTACAGGTACGGATAAAGTGTAGCACCCCCACCAAGACAGGATGCATCTATGGAAATGACTTTTGCTGATGGTGGTCTGGGAAAAATCCATCCACATGCTATGTAGTGTGGATTCATCCACTACTGGAGATGATGGTCAGAGGAGGGAATCAACCAGAACACAATTAGAATGGCAATCCACATGCTATGTGGTGTGGATTCATTCACTACTGGAGATGGTGGTCAGTGGAGGGAATTGACCAGAACACAATTAGAGTGGCAATCCACATGCTATGTGGTGTGGATTCACTCACTACTGGAGATGGTGGTCAGAGGAGGGAATTGACCACAACACAATAGACAGAGTGACAGTTTGGTCAATAGTGCGCAAGGAGGTGAGCTGAAATGGACGTACGTGGAGTCGGCAGGGTGGTATGAGATCCAACATGCTTGCCATGAGTCCCAGTAGCTTTAGTGATGCTGTTGCTGGGGCTGATGTCTCCATGAGAAATAGTTGGATGCACTGTTAAATATTTAGCACCCAAGTTTCTGTTGTAAAGGCCATATCAGTTTTGAGGTAGAGTATGGCTCCCGGGAATGTGGGTGTCTGCGTGGGGATTAGGAGTGTCATGTTGACAAGGAACCCCTGTTGGGTGTTCATGGACGACAATTCTTGGAGGGCTTTGTTTGCATCCACTTTCGTGTGGCCGATGAGCCAATTGTCCAGCTTTTGGAAATCTATGAAGTTGTTCCAGTGAAGCATTGCTCCGACAGCTTTTACAGTTCTTGTGATAACCTGAAGGGGAAGTTGATAGACTGACAGGGAGTGCTGTGAATTCGTATGTCACTCCTTTGTACTGGAATCATAGGAACTGGAAATGTTGTAGATGAATGGGCACATGCCGATATGCATTCCTCAGATCAAGGGATGTGGTCCATGATGATATCTGGATTGAGTCACAGATCATATAGAGTGAGTCTATGTGAACATGTTTGGGGCGGGAGAATGCATTAGTGGTTCAAGGTTTAAGATGGCCACCACACTGCTGTGTCCGTTTTTGGTGTCAGTAAAAGAGGTTGACAGAAGACCAGACAATCTGGCTCCCAATGCAGCTATACGAATTGCATTCCTGTCAAAGAGGGAGTGGATTTCTGCTTCCAAGACTACACATTTTGCCAGGTAGGTTGGGATTTCGGTTTGACATAAATGATGGTGTCCAACAGAAGGGCGATTGTGAATTCCAGAAAGTAACCAAACTGAACTGTTTGGAGCACCCACTGGTTGGGGACAGTCTGGTACCAGGACCTCTGGAAAGATCGAAGGCGGCCGCCCACGGGTCCAGGAGTTGCATGGGGTCACCAAGGCTCTGGAAAGGCAGCGATGCAACCCCCTGCAAACCGGGAGGCCAGTGGCTTGCATCACTGGCCACTTGGGAAAAAGGGTTAACTTTAGCATTGGTTAGAGGTACTGTACGTGTACAAAGTGTTAAAAAAAGCTGAAATTCGGGGTCAACATCTATAAACAAAAAAAGCTGTTATCAGCTAAAAAGCTGAATTCTCACATCCTGACAAAAGAGAACTCTACTCTTTATTAAATTGAAATAAACACAGGCAGATGGATGCTGGTAAACATAAACCTGAGAAAAATGACACAGCAGATTTTATGATCTCTCACTATCCAACACCAAGAAAAAAGGAAAAGAAAATATGGCGGGCATGCCTATTGTGAGAACTCTTAGCAGACATATTGTGTCCTCTTGGGATATACCAGGTATGCATAGGTAGTAGCTCTATGGGTACGATGAGCACTGAGACTGAACCATGGTGCATGGACATGTGCAAACTTGCTGGAACAAGATTTATAGTAAAGATTGCGGTAACACCATGTATTTATCTCTTCTTTGAGTATGTGTGGTTCTGAGAAGAACCGGGGATAAATACATGGTGTTACCGCAATCTTTACTATAAATCTAGTTTCTTTCACCATGAAAACCTTTAAGTCTTATTTGCTGGAACAAGTAATGCATGTCAGAGGATGGGAAATGTTCAGGTCGTGTATGATAAAACGGATAAATTGCAGTTGACGGTTGTGATTAACCATTCAATTAAGCTTAGAGAATTAACATATATACTGTAGCTCACCCCAGAATGTAGCTCATGGCAGAATTTGCAAAGACTGGATGGGCGCTGCTCAGAAGGAACACCATCTGACATTTATCACGTAGACTCCTCAGCCAAGCCTTCAAATGCTCACTGCACTGCTCCAAGTACTTGCTAGGCTCCTCTTCACAAGCAGACAAAATTGTAGCTTGTTTCTCTAACAAAACAAATACACATGAAACAACCTCAAGACAGTGCAATTAATGTTGTTAAAACAAATGAAGGGTTCACAAAACTTAATGTAGCAGTCATTTTGTACAACAATTTTTGCTTGCAAAAACAGGTGATAACCTCCCTCATAAATGTGAACCCATGATGGTACTGTGAATGTCCCAACTCCATAACATAAGAAATATTAATGTCACTGCAAACATCTAAAACTAGGAAAACTGTATGAAGTTTCCTTGTTTCCTTCGAGTTATGTCACAAAAGTTGATCTATTTTTCTGAATTTATACTTTAAACATTCTATCTTTCAATTTCACATTACAGAACTGCTTTGCTGTGAAATTAATCCCTATGGGCTGTGTCAAGAATATTTGTATCACGATGGCTGACCAATCCTGTGAGGGAGTTTTCAGTATTTAGGGATGTGTTATGACCCCTAATGGTGCATTTACTGCTGCAGAGTTCTTATGATTATATTACAGGCTTTTTCACAGATTCCTTTGCACCAGTACATGCGCTGGTACCGTGACATGTTTCAGTATTCTGCATAACTGTAACCAGGGCACACACACAGCTACTGGTCTAGATACATGTACATGTACCTGCATAGAAATACATACATGTAGATAATATTGAGGCCAAGACTCAAGACTTCAGCTGGACCACCTCTGTCACAGCCATGCTAAACAACCTAAGGCTGCCACCCCAACAGCGCAGAAGACATTACATCAGCTTTATACTGAGGTTTCAAAAATCCTGTATCATAATGTTGATATGGACATTGGAGACTTCCTCAGTCTACAAGAACCCACATCATCACGCATCCTCTCTTCCTGGAAAAAAATTATGATATTCTTGCAACTGGGGTTTTCACAAGAATGTGGAACACATAAATATGAAGCCAGCATTGAACTAAAGGCCATCCTGATGGCCATTACCTTGCGAATGTTTTTTTTACAGCCAGATTCACGAACTTAAAAATCTGGTTCACTGTGATTTTATTCTGTCACAGCATTTCACTGCCTAACCAAAAGTCCAGTTGCTATTGTAGAATTTAGTAAGGTTCAATGGTGTCGATAAAAATCAGTTTATGATACGTCATGGATAGATACTCATTCTAATGATGATGTTGCATGAATTGGCTCAATTGATCAAATTGATCAATTGACTTGATCGTGTGTTATTACAAACATTCATTGCAAATGTTCATGTTGCACTCTAATCTATGTTGGCAACACACGATGCGGCATCTCCATGTGATACTACAGCATACACATACATCAAACACTTGCCACGGCACTTCAACGCTGCCTCTTTTGATCAAAATTTGAAGCCGTATCGCACGAGACAGGACCGGATTATGGCTACCCTTGTCATGTGCCACCCCATACAATCCCGTTTATTAACTAAACTGATACACCTGCAGTGCTGGGTGAACATGCATGCAACAGTCAACGTCACAATCCAATCTTCATTCTTTTTGCCCCAAGATGGCAAGAGAGTGAAACGACTTTCCACAGCAGATAACTTGTACATCAACAACATTAACACTTTCAAAACTGCGCTGCAAAGTCATCTGCAGTTCGAATGAGCACTGTCTCCCCCCCAGCTCCATTCTGAGTGATGCTCAAGTTGACCTTTCCAAAGTACCTTCCATATCCAGTACATGTTTGTGCCAGTGTTGTAGTCAAGACCATCACAAGACCCCAAAGACAATTACAAGGCCCCAAGAGACCATCATAAGACCACAAGAAACCATCACAAGACCCCAAGAAACCATCACAAGACCCCCAGAGACTATTACAAGACCTCAAGAGACCAACTTAAGACCCCAGGAGGCCATCGCAAGACCCCACAAGACCATCACAAGACCCCAACAGACCATTACAAGACCCCAAGAGACCAACTTAAGACCCCAGGAGGCCATCACAAGACCCCACAAGACCATCACAAGACCCCAAGAGACTATTACAAGACCCCAAGAGACCAACTTAACTGGGGTCCTCCGGTAGTGTTCTGGCCACAAGACCATCACAAGACCCCAAAGACAATTACAAGACCCCAAGAAACCATCACAAGACCCCAAGAGACCATCACAAGACCCCAGGAGGCCATCACAAGACCCCAAGAGACCATCACAAGACCATCATAAGACCCCAAGAGACCATCGATCACAGGACCCAACGAGACCATCACAAGACCGCAAGAGACCATCACAAGACTAACACAGGACCCCCAGCTTTAAGCTATTCAAATGAACCCCAACAAAAGCTTTCCTTTGTTACTGTTCACCCTATTACTTGTGACTGGTCCATCTTGTGCATGGTCTTGTGATGGTCTCAACCACAACACTGGTTTATACATGAATATTTGCCAATAAGATCTCAGTTATACTGAGGGAAAAGCATGTGCTTGGCCAGTTGGAACAAACATTTAGGAAAGACCAAGCACATATTTACACAAACATGTACATTTATAAATAAATATTGCATTGCATATTGCATATCACGCGCAACCCGGTTGCACTATGCTGCGACATGCCCTTGAACCGCTACTCCTAGCAAATTTCCAACTTTAATTTTCCCCCCAAATCTTTGAGTTGATCCTACTTTCAGTCACACATGACCCGTACATTTGACCCACAAAGACCCCCAACTCATACTGTACGTGTCCTGCCAAACCACACACCGAAAGCCTGTGTCCGTCACGGCACATTGAGGTCAATAACCTCTGCTCACCCACAGTTTTACCCCATAAGAATCGTGTGTAGATTTCCCAGCCATCCAGAGTATTGTACACGACCTGATGTACTAACAAAGGTTCACCCTTTCCTTTCCCTCTGTGACCAAGTTCCCCGTAGCTCACCCATGAGCAGCCTTTCACCCTTCTAGTCCCAAACTTCTCAGACTTTATCACTCTCCAGAAACTAAGTCAGCAAAGACCAAGTGTGCACAAAATCCCCATAGACTCATAGATGTATGAATAATTCATAACCACCCCAATCCAGTGCTCCCATTGGCTATGACGCGGCTCTCAAGAGTCTATATAAAGCGACCAGCTCCAGCGGTCGGCATTGATCATTCCCGAGCAGGCAGCTTTGGAGTAACAACTCCTTGACCGTTCTTGAGTGTACAGCTCTGCCATGAATAACCTTTCTATCACTCTCAAATAAATAGCTCAGATTTGGACGAGCAGTACTTTGATTATTGCTCTGATGATAATACAGTAATATCCAGCCTTACTAGCAACAGAAGTTATTAATAGGAGACAATGTGAATAATTCTTCAGAATAAAACAGTACTGTGTGTAAGTCAATCCAATGACTCTCACTCTTTATGATAACGGCTCCCTACCCTAAGGACGACCTTATAATAGGCACCGTTTACAGTAAAAATGAACACCAGATTTTGTCTATGAAAATGTCAAACCTCTTAAAGGGGCGGTTCTGTTCAAAGCGGTTGGAAAAAATCTGTAATTGGATTTGGAACTTTTTTGTTTAAACATTCAAACATGTAAACGTAGTTTTTACATATATTGAAGAAGTTGCAGAAAAATTGTGTCCATGAAAAAAATGCATTGCTGGGTTACTGGCTGTTAATTATTATAATTATAATTTAATGTAATTATTATTCAAAACATTTAATAATTGCCTTTTCAAGAGATTCAATTCAAAAGAGACATTTATTTCCATACATGTACCTTGCAGCAATAACAATTTGAATGTACATTGCAATGACAAGACATTGACAAGGACAAAGAACAGACAATGTATGGTAGCCATTTCCTTTAAACTAAAAGCGTACTTTGGATGGCCTTTGGTGAAATAATTCGACTACTAGTACATTCATATTAAAACACACACAAATAACCTTAAACAAGACGTGACAAGTATGCAAAGCTAATAAATACAAGTGAGGAAAACTGTATTTAAGGAGAAAACACTGAAGGAGATGGTTGGACAGACAAAACAGACAGACTGTCCAACCCACTTGCCAAATACAGCTCAAATAGACTGACCTAAGGTACAACAGCCAGGCAGCTAGCCTGACCAACGGACATACATGTACATGTATAAAGATATACACACATGTACATGTATACTGTAAAGATAAACAATGGCAACAAACACTATACAGTACATGTGAATAATGGATAATT